ATAGACTAACCTCTTTTCCTCTATCTCTTTATTCCATCGTTTAACCAAGTATGTTACAAAAGTAAAAGAGAATGATAAAAGTATTGTCGCATAAACGCGTACAGCCATAAACAACCGAACGTGAAACTGCTAAACATGTTATAAACGTAAACAATGGAAAAGATGCATATTCGCTATGTTCGTATTTGTTGTGAAAGAGAATATTTCCTTAAAATTCTAGACTCGGCCATCGGACAGAACAAATAAAAACACACCCACATCAAGAGGAATAGTAAGCGGAGCAGTAGGCTTTGCTGAAAACAGTTATTCACAGCTAAACACTGTCTTCCCTTGTTTTCTAATCTACATTATATTTCCCAGTAACAAAAGTTAATAAACTTGTTAAACTAATTCAGGTTTTCTACTGTTGTTTTTGTTAATTTAGTTACAACAGTATTCTATAATACGATAGTAACAATTTACGTGCATTATTACTGGATACAGTTAGATAAAACATCAGTTTTATTAAAATCCTGTTTATTTTAAATACAACTGTACATTTTTAGTACTGTAAATGGATGCTTACTTTGGTCAACGGCGTAGCCAGGGCCAGTATTACATAGACTAATTTTAAATCGCGTGTATGATGCGATCCCCTTAATATTAGCTTCAAAATTATGTCTACAAATGTCACATGTTACACGAGTATATATGGTAATTCTCTCCTTGTAAACCACTCAGTTTTCTTTATAACACTCAAGTTGTTTAAATAAAAGGTTAGTAAGAAAATTGTCATCAATAATCGAAAGAGCGATAACAGCTACTGGATTTGAGAAACATATTTTCCTGAAATATTTTATAAATTTCAACTGAGAGCAGTACTGGCTGCTCGGTCAAGGAAACGGCTAATATTACCAATACGTATATTCTTAGCAGTTCCATCTCGTCCAAATTCTCGAGTTATTTTATATGTACTGAAACAAAAATAATGTGTGTGTGCATAAAGTATGCGTATGTGTGCTCATGCGTGTGTGGGAGTGAGGATCGATATTTTAAATAAAATGCATGTACACACCCATACACATACACGCACAAGCACACGGGGTTTGGAATGTCATAATTCAGTATTTAAACTCTTGTTATTTGTTAAGTTAAGATATAGTGGGCTATCTGGCTTTGGTTGATAGCCAGGCTATGAGAAGAACTATTTTGAATTCAGTCCTAGAGAAGACAGCCGAAAGCATTCCACTATCTTTCCAGATAATTCGGGGGTAATTCATAGATAATAATGGAACCGAATCATTTGAGAGACATGATCGTCGACGTCTTGAAGGAATATGGTATTAAAGAATTCGTTTATTTCGAAGAATGTCTACAAAAGTTCAAAAATATGTTTTATCACCAAAAAATAAACAGAAATAATTGTCTTACTAATTTTCTTTTTTTTTATATGGCTATTCTATGCTATTCATGTGGCATTGAAGTTATAATTCATTGTGCGAGAAAAGGAAAAAAATAATATAAGTAAAAAAAAAAGAAAAAAAGTTTGGAATTGTTCTTCTTCACAATAGAGAAGCAATAAATTCGTTGCTTTGCTGGTATTATCCTATTCCAAAAGTCACCGCATTTAGCATTTTTAACAAGTTCATAACAAAGCCTACAAAAGGAGTTTCTGATGAACATTATGTATGACTTCTGTAATGAATGACCATTAAACGCGTGTCTATCTTTCCAATTTGTCCCTGACTCTTTCCTCTACTATCATCAAATTTTGCCCTTAACTCTGTGTCTTTCTCTCTTCACGCTGTTGTCTCTTTCATCGTCAATGGCAGAAGGCTTGACAGTCAGGATTAAATAAATGGCAGCAAGACAAGGCCAATACCGTATTCGCCAGGCGTCTCGATTCCAATATTTCATTGGATGATATGTCAGCTTTCTGCCCTTCTGGCTTGCCTTCGCGTCCCGATCCATGCCAGCCTTACCCACCAGCCTACAAAAATCATGCTCACCTAAAAGTCTCTCTTGTTTATCTCTGTCCTTGCTACCAAGCATAGGGTTTCCCGTAACAAGAATCTTATTTCTAATATCATCATCGATAATTATAGAAAAACATCATTATCAGGGATATAAATACCTATCATACGAACCCTCATCACCTTGTCTAAATATAAAATGCATTTAACTGAATGAAGCAACTAATTTAAGAAAGAGGTTGAATTTAACAAATACAGGTTTACGACAGAGAAGTGCCATCACACGGTGTACACAGGATGTACCCAAAAAGTTGATCTCGTTTTAAAAGAAATTATCTTGAAACCTACTAAGTCTAGCTCAATGAAATTGAACAGTTTAAGTGTTGAACATCATAAGTTTATTATGGGACCGATTTTATAAGTGTTCAATATGTACACCACCTGTGACACGGCACACGTCAAGTCGATAGTTAAGCTCTTGACAAACACGCTGTAACTTGTCTCTCGTAACATTATCCAGCACGGAAGTGGTTCTCTGCTTGAACCCATCAATGATAGCAAGAAGAGTGGGTACATAGACCAGTTCCTTCACATATCCCCATAAAAAGAAATCACACGGAGACAGGCCCGGTGACCGCGGCAGCCATTTCATCAGAAAAAGAGAGTTGAGTTAAAGGGAAATAACTGAGACATCCGGAACTAGAGCAATCTACCCGGGTAGATGAAATAAAGGGCCCGGTTCGAAATTTCAATCTCCTGAAGAAGGCCGGAGTGTACTAGGACCTAAACGTTGTGAATATGGCAATGTAGATGAAGATAACAGTCCGAATAATGTAAATAATGTAAGTAATCATAATACCTCATCTCAGAGATACAGACAGATAATGATTAGCTGACGTTATTTTGCAGTTGTCCTCCTATGAACACACACACACACAGTGTGACTGCGAAAGGAGTATGTGTGCGTGTGGAAGAGAGAAGGTGTGTCCGTATGAAACGGAAAGAATTTAATTGTTTTTGATGTAATAAAAATGAATTTAAACCTTTCCCAGATTCCTGACATCTAATTGTATCCCATAAGATCTTCATAAACTCTGATTTTGTTCATCCCCTTTCTTTTGATCTCATTTGATTTTCCCACAGTTTTTTTTTGTTTATTTTCAAGTGTTTCCGGCATACTGATATCATTTGATCTCCCTGTATTTTTCTCCCTACCTCCTCTTTCAATTTCTGTATCCCAAATGATCTCCCAGTCTTTCTGCTTTGATCTTCATTGGTTTTCCTGAAGATTTTAATTTTTCTCTATGAACAGACGCAAAGCGCTTGTGCCCACTATTATGAATGACCTCGACGTCATATATGCCCCGACAGACAAGGCGAGGCTCTTCACTTCGATCTTTGCCTCAAAATCAACATTAGATGCCAAAGGTCATCCCGTCCCCAATTTCCCAGGTTTCCCTGATCAGAATCTCAGAAATATCTAAATTTCAGCACGAGAATTCTCTAGACTTATCAAAAGCTTTGACCCTAAGAAAACCAATGGCGCAGACAAAATTCCAACGGCTGTCCTTAAGAATATCAAACCGGAAATATCCCCGATTCTAGCGAAGTTCTCCAGCCGCTACTTGAAGGAGAAATATTACTGAAACCTGTAGAAGGTGTTAAGCGTATGCCGGGTCTTTAAGAATGCGGGTGAGCGATCTTCTCCCACCAACTATAGACACATCAGTCTCTTCAGTATCATCAGTACGATTTTTAAGGTTATAATCAACAAGAAGTTCGTCGAAAACATAGATAAGAACCCCCTCTTGTGCGACAAGGAGTACGGGTTTGGATTGGCTCCACGTCACAGAATTAGTGCGACAGACACAGAATCCAGGAACATAGAATTACGTATTTAGAAGGCCCTTGAAAGCGTTTTGCTGCACAAGCTTTCCAACTATAGAATCATTGGAAGGGTTTTCTCAATTGTAAATTCTTCCTAACAGGTAGATCGCTGAATGTAATTATTAATGACCATTTTTTTTTCGAGACACTAGCGGTCAACACAAGCGTCCCCCAAGGGTCACTTCTCGGACCAACCCTATTTTCAGTTTACATAAATGATATGCTTAAGAATATACTCATCATTTGTAAACATCTAAGCCGATGGTTCGACGATATACGGGTGCACCTCTAAAGCTCTTGATGATCAGAGATTGGCAGTTGCTCTCTTTGGCACTAACTTCACTGGGAAAACAAATGGCTGGTTACATTCAATACCTCAAAAATAAAATTAGTTATAGGACCCCGAACTACAGCCAGTCACGATGAACGGATATCCCCTCGAGGAGGCACCGTGCCTTGAAAGGCCTCAAACTCACAACTAACTTCCAGCAGATTTCGTACATACGATCCATCGCTAAAGAGCCACTAAAAATGGTCAGCTCCCTGTACTGCTCCAGTAAGTACCTCATGCTATTCTCTACCTTTACAAGAGCCAGAGCAAACCGAAAATGGAGTACTGTTGTCATATTTGGGTGGAAGTTTCCCAGTCCCCACTATCCAGTCTCCATAGAGTTCAAAAGCGTCTCCGAGTTCTTGTGGGTGACGAATAATTTTCCACCGTACAACCCCTCTCTCACAGAAAGGATGTGGCAATCTTCTCACTGCTTTATCACTACTATATGGAAAATGCTCGTACGAGCTACATTCCTTGGTTTTAAAACCTTCACGGCTAGGCCCCGCCATGCAACTAACATTGAAACAAACCTCCCACATTTCCTACGTATTACATCGGCGAGAATTTAGTTCCAATCGAACAGCTTCTTTCTGTGAACCACTACTCTGAGAAACAGAACCCCAAGTGTATGTTTTCCCGATCACTAAAATCTTAACTTGTTCAAGTCTAGAGTAAACCCCAACTTTCTTACCTAACTGTATAAATTGCCCCATACCGTGGCGCTCAACCTCGAGTGGATCCTGAGCATTGTACAGGGTGAAAACTACCCTACAAAATGTCCAAGTTTCCTGATGCGTGTAGGTATTCTTTGGGCTCTTTGAATAACTATGCGTCTCTCTCTCTCTATAACAAACAATGACTCGTTATCGTCGACTGTAAATTTATTGATTTCTTTTTCTAAGACTTTATTTTTCTTTTCTTCCTATGTCTCTCTTCGTTCACGTGTCTTGCTACTCACATAACTTTTATAATTGTCTTTTTCAAATGATTTTTGCGCATCCTGTTACCCTTTTATCTCACTGCACCTCTCTCATATTTCATCTTTCTATCTTTATCTCTTAAATCTCATTCTGACACACACTCTCACTCTCCCCTCTCTCTCTCGCTCAACGACTAAGTTTCTCGCTTACTTTCTTACTGACTCGTTTACTCACTGCCTCCGAAAATCTTTCTCTCTTCTCTCCCATTTTTCTTTCTTCTCTTCCTTTCTTCCCGACAGGTTCTCTCTCTCTATCTCTCTCTGACCACCTTTCTATCTTCTCTTCTTTCATTCCTGACTCTCTCTATCTCTCTCTGGCTCCTTTCTCTCTTCTCTTCCATTCTTCCTGATTCGTTCTCTATTTCTCTATCACTCCCTGGCCACATTTCTCTCGTCTCTCGTTTCTTCCTGACACTCTCTCTCTCTCTCTCTCTCTCTAACCACCTTTCTCTCTTCGCGTCTTTTCTTCCCGACACTTTCTCTCTGTCTCTTTATATATATATATGACCACCTTTCTTTCTTGTCTCCCTTTCTTCCTGACTTGCTTTTTCACTCTACCACTCTATAACCATTCTTCTATCTTCTCTACTTTTCTTCCTGACTTGTTCTCTCTCTCTCTCTCTCTCTCTCTCTAGATATATATATATATATATATATATATATATATATATATATATAACCACCTTTCTCATTTTCCTTCTTTTCTTTCTGACACGTTCTCTCTCTCTTTTCCATGTCTCTCTGACCACCTTTCTCTCTTCTCTTCTCTTCTTTTCTTCCTGATACGTTTCCCCCCCTCTCTCTCTCTCTCTCTATCTATCTATCTATCTATCTATTTTCTGACCACCTTTCTTTCTTCTCTTCCTTTCTTACTGACTCGTTCTCTCTCTTTATCTCTCTCGGACCATTTTTTCTTCTCTTCCTTTCATCCTAACTCGTTCTCTCTCTCACTCTCCCCCCTCTCACTCTCCCTCTTTATCTATCTCTCTCTTTCCCTGAATCTTTCTCCCTTCTTTTATATCTGACACGTTCTCTCTCTCTCTCTCTCTCTCTCTCTGACCACCTTTCTCGCTTCTCCTCCTTTCTTCCTGAATCGTTCTCTCTCTATCTCTCCCTGACCATTTTTCTTTCTACTCTTCCTTTCTTCCTGTCTTGTTCTCTCTCTCTCTCTCTCTCTCTATATATATATATATATATATATATATATATATATATATATATATATATATATATATATGACCACCTTTCTCTCTTCCCTTCTTTTCTTTCTGACACGTTCTTTCTCTCTTTCCATGTCTCTCTGACCACCTTTCTCTCTTCTCTTCTCTTCTTTTCTTCCTGATACGTTTTCTCTCTCTCTCTCTCTCTCTCTCTCTCTCTCTCTCTCTCTCTATCTATCTATCTATCTATCTATATTTCTGACCACCTTTCTTTCTTCTCTTCCTTTCTTACTGACTCGTTCTCTCTCTTTATCTCTCTCGGACCATTTTTTCTTCTCTTCCTTTCATCCTAACTCGTTCTCTCTCTCTCTCTTTATCTATCTCTCTCTTTCCCTGAATCTTTCTCCCTTCTTTTATTTCTGACACGTTCTCTCTCTTCTTTTATTTCTGACACGTTCTCTCTCTCTCTCTCTCTGACCACCTTTCTCGCTTCTCCTCCTTTCTTCCTGAATCGTTCTCTCTCTATCTCTCCCTGACCATTTTTCTTTCTACTCTTCCTTTAACCCTGACTCGTTCTCTCTCTCTCCCACTCTATCTCTGACCATCTTTCTCTCGTCTGTTCTTTTCTTCATGTCACGTTCTCTCTCTCTCTCTCTCTCTCTCTCTCTCTGACCACCTTTCACTCTTCTATTCTTTTTTTCTGACACGTTCTCTCCCTCTTTCACTCTATCTATCTATCTATCTATCTATCTATCTATCTATCTATCTATCTATCTATCTATCTATCTGACCACCATTCTCACTTCTCTTTTTTGTTCCTGATTCGTTTTCTCTTTCTCTCACTCTTTCTCTCTCTATGACCATTTTTCTTTCTTTCTCTTCTTTTTTTCCTGATTTGTTTTCTCTCTGTATATATCTCTCTTTCACCACCTTTCTCTCTTGTCTTCCTTTCTCCCTGTTTCGATCTCGCTCTCTATCACTCTCTGATCACCTTTGTCTTTTCTCTTCATTCCTTTCTCACACGTTCTCTCTCTCTCCTAATGTGCCTCTCTCTCTCTTTTTCTCTCTCTCTCTTTCTCTTTCTTTGTCTCCTTTGATTCTTCCTCACATTTTATTTTTCTCCATTTTCAAGTTTCTGAAGCACGCTAATACATTTTGGTATGTATCTTTGTCTTGCTTGCATCACACTCTATCTATCTATCTATCTATCTATCTATCTATCTATCTATCTATCTATCTATCTATCTATCTGCCTTTACCTATCTATCTATCTATCTATCTATCTATCTATCTCTCTCTCTCTCTCTCTGAAAATCACCGACACGCTGTATTCAAGTCTCTGCCTATTTCTCTCATCTATTTTGTACTCTCTTTCATGTTGTCATT